TGGGATGGGGTTGTTTTGTGGCCCAGGCTTGTCTTGAGCTCCTGGGCTCAAGTGATCCTCCCACCTCAGCCTACACAGGAGCTGGGACTACAGATGTGTGTCCCCATGCCTGGTTTCACCCCACTTCTTGAGGGGAAGACACTGACTCTTTCTCCAGTTGATGGGAGACAAAGTGCCATCCACAATCCACAGGAGGAGGAAAGGAGGACTGACCAAGATGGCAGCACGCTTATCTCCTCACTGTGCCGAAGAAGACCTCTGTGAGATTTTAGGCCCTTCTACCTTTAGGACCTATTTTCTGAAATGTTAATAGATTTGATCACAACTGGTGTTTTGAAAACTTCAGTTGAGGTGAGATGCTCATGCAGGCATTCCGGAGTGTGTGTGTGCGTGCGCGCGCGCGCACTGGGGTTGGAAATGGCACCAAAGAAAAGGCTATTTTGAAGAACATTTCCCCAAGAGGCTTCTAATTGGTGCTCTGACTGCTGTTTTGTGTCAGAGATTTATTGGTTCCTGCAGGGATCACGCAGTCAGCAACACCACCTTCCGGTTCACTAACAGACCTTGGATAATGGAGATCTTGGATCTGGTTCTGTGCACACCCACATCAGGAGGTTTGGTTGGCTGCGTGTGTGTGAGAGAGCGCACAGGATGGGGGCTACTGCACCGTCGCCTCTGTTTGCTGCAGGAGGATCTGGCAGAGGTGCACTCTGCGTGTGTTCCTCCTGACACATCCCCTAATGGCACTGTCTCTACACCTCTTTAGTCCTCCAATGTGCGGGACTGAATGACCACCAGGGGGCGGAATTGCAACCGCGCCCGTTCCTTTCATCCACCAGCCATTTGTCTAGGGAACCTCTGCTCCACGCCTGACCCTGCACTGTTTCGCTGTAAACTTCATTTGGATTCTGTGAGCTGTATTATATTACCCCCTTTCCACAAAGGGAATGGAAGCTGAGGAGAGGTTAAGTAGAGGACACCAAGTCAGCACTATGCGTCATGCTGTCTCTTCGAGTTCTGTCCTTCCACCCTCCTCACCTGCAGATCTCTGCAGTGGCTGGCTGTTACCTGCCAAGCTAATCGCTGGAAGCCTCTGCTCACCTGGCTAGCAGGTGAGCAACTGGGCCTCTAACCTTCATCCTGTAGTTTCTTCCACAGCTTCGTTTGGATCTTGTCACTCCTGTGTGTAAAGGACTTCCCCAACCTAGCTGCTAAAGGGCTATCACATGTCATGAAAACCACTCTGGCTAGGACAGAGGCTCCCTGGGGTGGCTGATCCTTCACCTCCCAAGGGCTTTAGGGGTGGCTTTGGAGGAGGAGGAGGGGGAGGAGGAGAAAAGGAGAGGAAGGAGGAGGAAGGGGAAGAGCAGGAGGAAGAGGAGTGTCCATTCGGCTACTTCTGCCACTGGCGCTCTCCTCAGGTGAGGAGAGAGCCTCGCTGGATGCCCTGGAGGAAGTCAGGGAGTGACCTGACCCTGCGTGACACAGGACAAGGAAAATGTATTGGGAGGAGAGTGGGGTCCACACAGGCCTGGACGGCAGAGCTGGCTGAGCTGCGATGCCAGTGTAGGGAGCGAGGAAGGAGCGGTGTCACTTAGGGCTTCAGAGGAGCCCAGCCAGTGGCCTCAGTGAGGTCTCTGCTTAGGTTTTGTTTTTGCGCCAGAACCGAGGCCAAGGGCTGAGGGAAGGCAGTGGTTAGGGGGACTCTTACAGTCCAGATAACAAACTGCAGTCTTTTAATTTTACTCTGCAGTAAATATAAAGTTTGCTCTTATACTTCACATATTGACACCCTTAAATTTGAATATGGTGAAATCTGTTCAAAGAGACTTCCCAGGGCTTTGGTTTGCACTTTAGAAAAAGGCATCCTTGTCATTAGATTGTGTTCTCCTAAAGCTTGGATGTGGGAAACCTCTCTGAGCTGCAGTCAAGAACACTTCCTTCCCAGTGGCTTGGGTGGGGGCTCTTGTGCAGGTGGCCGCCACATCTGTTTCTAAGGGTCTTCTTTAGAGCTGCCACATGTCTCCATCACCTTCAAGGAAATAGCAGGGAGGACAGTCCTGAGTAGAATGTGGCTAGGAGACTCTCCTGTGGATCCTGGGGATGTCCAGCCACCCACGATGGTGCCCCTTAATAATCCTGCCTCAGGGCTCCAACAGAGTTGGGTGCCAGTCTCAACTGAAGAAAGGAATCTTCAGAATGAGAAGTCAGGGCAGTGCCTACCCCTGGAGCAGAGGTAAGAAGGGAATGGGAGGGTGTGATAGGGGTCCTGGGATGGGAAGGTGCTGGAGGTCACTGGAGAGTCCTCTGTGATCACCCAACACTTACAGTTAGGGTTGGTGACTTCCGTTGGTGTAGACTTCACTAAAAGAGATTAATTTAGAAAGTCCAAGCTAGGGGGCCCAGCCCTAGCTCAGTTCTTTAAGTGGCTGCTTCCACAATGCTGGCAGCCTCAGTTTGCTGTAGTTCGATCCCCACAACACTCCAGCCATGCAAAAGTGCCCTGAAGGCATTCAAGGAGAAAAAAAAAAAAATTCCTTAGAAAGTCCAAGCTCACCTCTTCCTGATTGTGTCCCATGACTTCACCCCATGTGACAGGGCTGCTGTGGTGCCACTACTACCATTGTGAGGGTGCATGAATTGTGCTCGTAGCTTCTGATGAGGGCCTGGCACTGTGCAGCCCATGGCAGCGGCTTGGGCTGCTCCGGTACACCATCCCCATGGGTCTCAGTTACTCTTCTCTTATTACTGGGACAAAATACCCAACACCCAAAATGAATGAAGGAAAGGTTTACTTAGCTCACAGTTAGTGGAGGTTTCAGTCCGTACTCAGCTGGCTTCAAGGCAGAGCAGCACAAGGCAGAGAGCAGCAGTTCATGGCAGCAGTGAAAAGCAAGAGCAAAGGGGATGGGCAGCAGCTCAGGCAGCTAGCTAGCCTCTCTCCCCTCCTCACATTGTAATGCAGATTACCTGCCCCGGGGTGGGTACAGCACCCACACCCACAATAATCAATCACAAACTCCAGAAGCTGCCCCATGACTGCATGGGGTTTTGGGGGGACAACTACACATAAACCATAACATTCTGCTCATGGATCCCCAAAGACTCATGCACAGCCCTTTATGCAAAAGGCATTCTAGTCCATCTCTAAGAGTTGCCAAAGTCCTAACTGTTTCAGCATTGCTGAAAAGTCCAAGTCCCAAGTCTCCTCCAATATCAAAGACAAACTCTTAGCTGTGAGACCCATATAAATGATAATTCTTTTTTTAAAAAAAATGTATTTGGTACAGGTTCTCACTATGCAACTTGGCCTTAGAGTGATCCTCCTGTTTTCAGCCTCCCCAGTACTGGGATTACAGCCATGCACCACCATGCTTGGTCTCTAAGGCCAGCTCTGAGAGCCCTGGAGTGGGGCTGGCATGGCATGTGGTTCTGGGGATTGAACCTTGGTCCCTGCACTTGCTCACACAGGTGCTTTGTCCACCGAGCTCTCTCACTGGCCCCATATAAATGAAAAGTGAAACACTTCCAATATTGAGTGGCACAAGAAAAAATTACCATTCCATAAGGTACAAACCACAGGGGAATACAAATCATTGGGACCAAAGCAAGTCCAAAATCCATGATGAGGCCCTTCCGAGGTGAGCTCGGACTTTCTAAATTAATCTCTTTTACTGATGTCTACACCAAGGAAAGTCACCAATCCTAACTGTAAGTGTTGGCGGGTGATCACAGAGGACTCTCCAGGGCAAACATAAAGTCCTATAGTTCCATGTGGCACAACTGAAGGAATTTGTGGCAAATTGTGAGCTGCATGTGTTTCTACCTCTATGGCACTTCTGCTGGTTGAAACTCCCATGGCTTCTCTCTCTTAGGTTGGCTTTGCTCCCTTCTTGCAGCTTTTCTTAGATGACCCACATTTCTGGATTTCCCAAACTTCTGGGGTTTCCACGGAATAGACTTCTCACTCACAGCCCTACGTGCTGGTCTCTCAGGGGCACACTGCCTGGCCTCCCAGGCCTTCTTCTGAAATCTAGGTGGAAGCCTTATTAACTGCAGAACTCCTGCATTCTTCAAGTGCCTAAGACCAACACCACATGGATGATGCCAGGGTCTGCAGTCAGCTGAAGCAGTAGCCAGGCTTTCTTCTCCCATGGTTGTAGGGGTCAAGTGCCTGGATCACTGAGCACTCTGACCCTGATTCCAAGGAACAAATTCTCTATGCTGGTGCCATTCTGGAACCTGGGCACAGCAATGCCTGATATGCAGCTTGGTCCCTGGCAAGCCTGAGCTCAGGGACAGTTACTGAAATGAAGAGCCAGAAGCTTCTCCATGGAACGTATAGCATGGCCCCCTGCTTGCCAGGGATTTGAAACACCTCCTCCAGAGCAGCCCCTTTGTTCACCATTTTGCATTAAAGTGACCTATTGTGTTTTCACTCTGGAGAAAGGCCATCTGAAAAATACACAGCAAGTGTGAGATGGTGCACCTGCCCTGCCATCCAGGCAGAAGAGCGGCGAGGAACAGTGGGTACCTTGGTGGTGGGCCTGGGCCTTGGGCCAGACACTATGTTTCAGTGCATCTAGGGTGGTGGTCCCTGGCCAGGAGGCTGGGGAGCCTCTTCCTGAGCTCACTCAACCCTCTGCATTCAGGAGAGACACATTAGGAATCCTACTCAACCATATAATCTAATTCTCTAATTTGTGTCTCCCAATAGAATTGATTCTTTTCTCATTTTTTACGTCTCAATTAGCCATTTTTAAAAACTTAGTTTTTTCAAACTGTGGTACAGGCTTTCAGGGTAAATCATGAGGGGATTTGACTAACCTTGTCAGATGCATACAAAAGTTACATTTCTTGTTACATAGGTCTTGCTTTTTCTTGGTCTTAACCATCCAGCAGAAAAGTGTAAAAATGATGTATAAAAAATAAAGCCATATTAATATGCTGAGCTGTAAAAGGCTCAAATCAACAAGTTCTGATATTTTTTTTTTTTTTTGCCAGAATCTGGACATGTTTATTATCAGTCGCATATTTCATAGAAAAAGATATAGCAAATGGGTCAGGGTGTATGAAAAAACAACACAGGTTTTTACAGCCACTCTATGTACACATGGGAACAGGGTCTCCCCGAAATCAGGCACAGCAGCTGCACTTGTCTGAAGCCCCTTTGCAGATGCAGCCCTTGGCACACTTGGCACAGCCCACAGGGCAGCAGGAGCAGCAGCTCTTCTTGCAGGAGGTGCATTTGCACTCTTTGCATGAGCAGGAGCTGGCGCAGGCGCAAGAGCCACCAGTGGCGCAGGAGCAGTTGGGGTCCATACTGAGCTTAGGTGAGAGTGGAGGTCCGAAGCAACAGGCGGGAGGTTATCGTCTGAAGTCTTGGGGAGCAGGCTGCCTGCCCGCTAATTTTATTTTATTTTTATTTATTTATTTA